TAATATAAACATTTGAAGCAAATTTCATTGGTGAAATTTTGCAAGGGAAGTGCCTTGGAACTGATTGATGACACCATAAGATCGCTTCATTCTGCGAAGCAATGGTGAGATTTTCAAATGTGTACTGCTGTGAATTTCAAGCATATTCTGCCCCTAGAAACTGGAATGCCGATCGTTCTGGTGTGGTTGATGAACTTATCGTTTTACTGGAAAATGACATAAATTGTTGATCGATTGTATTCGACAGTCGTGTTATGAAATTGGAAGCACTGAGAAGCTCCGCCCTCTTCGACTTAGGCATGTAGGAGTTAAGCTGAAGCATTCGGTTCGTGGGTTGTTCATCGACAGAGGCCTCTTTTATCTGGGGGAGGGCACCGAGGCTAGTTTGAAACAACCAATCTCTGCCATTCAGACGTCTCAAAACAATCGGTACCAGAACGACGGCAGCAGGACGGCTAGTGAAAAAATGTCCTATACCACTCGGAACCAGAGCACAATGCCCTTCATTTGCTACCCATTAACAAACAAATCTGCGCATTCGATTATCATCAAAACAATCATACAAGAAACAACCTTTACGTGCCAGCTCCCAACGAACAATGGAATAATTTTGTGGAAACATTATGACCAGATTATTTATATCGACCTTTCCATGCAACATCATACTGAGACAGCCAACTTCGACAATTCTGCATATTATACTTGATTACCGTATCCCAATTGAAACGGTTCACATTCAATTGTGCAATTCGTTGCTCTTCTCGTCTCCTCTCAGCCAAAATTTCAGCACTGACAAATTCGACGGTGAATGAGAATCGTTCACAAAGATACATCAAATACGCTCTTGCCTGCAAATCTTATATGCTCGAATTAGACCAAGTGTTTAACATGAACAATGACTGCCNAAGATACATCAAATACGCTCTTGCCTACAAATCTTATATGCTCGAATTAGACCAAGTGTTTAACATGAACAATGACTGCCTTACTCATGTCACTACAGCTGAATTATCGTGAACGCCATCATTTTAAATGAACATTCTTATGTACACAGAGACTATTCAATATGTTCAGGCAATCGTCTTCAGAAAAAACATTCGAACATCAAAATGTGAATCCATATCAATACTCAGCAATATCTGATGTGATCCTAACGTTTAAAGGAAAAACAAATGAGATGCGTTACTGAAATACAAAAATAGCAGCGATTAAGCAATAAATGCATTTGTTTCTCCTTCCTCAATTCGATACGACTAAAAATATTCCAAACAAATGCAGCATGAGATAAATGACACAACAAAAGTATTCAGCTTATCATCTAGGCAAGAACTCAACAAGCAATCACGGAACAAACCTCATATTCGGTGATGAAACCGCCAACTTCAAGAATGATACGATTCGCACGAACCGGAGTCACATAATGACTAATGTTGCCCTTGCCTCCACCCAGTTTCGTGCCTTGTGCTTTCTTGGTTCGTGGTAACCATGGCGCTGGAACACGCCATATCGCAAATTGCTTATCCAACAAATTCCTGTTTAGTCGTTCCTGTAAAATAACTGCCTGCTGCCTTTCCAGAGGGCACTCTATCGATCTTCTACGACCGAACGAAAAGATATTGGTAGTATATCTATTCGAGGAATTCAGCTGGGAACCGTAAAAGAGACAAAAAAATCTGCACTAGATGACAACTACAAGGACTGGAGTATAGCCATGCGGCATAACAATCTTACAAGC